TCCCACCCATAAACATTATGTCCCAGGCCCAAACATGAATTTGAACAAATTTGAGCCTGTAATAGAAACAGAGATTTACCATTCCATAAAAGAAATTGCTTACAGCACCTTTAATCTATAGTTCTGCTCCGTGAGGTAGAAAAGAGCTGGGCAGCTTTCCATCTTAAGACACGCAGAGATCCCAAACAGAAGTCCATCCACTAATGTGCCTACTTAAGATCACTACAGGGCACACAGGCGTTCCTAGATGAGTGTGAGATTGCCTTATCTGAATGAGTGATAGCATCCGAGACTATATGAAGCTTGGTGCATGTCTTCCTTTTTTTGGCTCCACAGCCGGCAGCTACATCTGCACATGGCAATTTTATCACTGCTGCATCCTTCATAAAGCTTGTCTGGAAAAAAAGACTTGTGTGTCTGGTAATAATAAAAACATATTTTGGAAAGTTGCAAAATTGTTTGAGGACTGTATAATCTGATGGCATCCCTTGCTTTTATTTTGGCTGCACCTGTTCTCGTTGCTTTCTTTGGCAGAGAGGGATATGTTTACTGCAGCAACAAGAGGAACGGCACGTGATAGCTCAAGATGCGCAAGCTGTGCATGGACACTTGACACACACACATTCATTTTCCAATCTGCATGGTTTTGTGGCCCCAGATTGGCATGGCATTCTTTTTGTACATTTCTAAAGAAATTAAATCTCTTTATTGTGACTCAAGGCTGCGATCGGTATAGGGATCAGAAATAGAAGATTTTAAAACCACAGGACTCAAACAACAGTTGAGGTCACATGATCTACAATGGGCCAATTAAAGAGCTATGAACATCAAGTCTGTGCTGTATGAGAGAGAATTTCTCCTGAGATGGACTATAAATGCCCAGACTGGATGAGGTTCTCAATTTGATGTCTGATATTTGATTCCTTTACTAGAGAGCTTCATTTGATTGACCAGTCAGCCTGCAGGCATAAAAAAAAACAACTCACATTTGGGTTGAAGTCACCACAAAATCGAAATCGAAATTAACAATGCAATTTTTAATGGAATGTCACAGTGTTTATTTTGAATGTTTTTTTCATGCACATCATTAAGGCCAAGTACATACTGTAAAGTTTCAGGAGTGACTCTTAATGCATCGTGTTTCCTTCTGGAGCATCAGTGAGCGTTTGAACTTTTGTAATAGTTGCATGTAAGTCCCTCAGTTGTCCTCGGTGTGAAAAGATGGATCTCAAAACCATACAGTGATTGTTGGAAAGGGTTCAAACGTGCAAAAGATGCTGGAAAACCTAAGAATTTGTGGGACCTGAAGGATTTTTCAGAAGAACAGCAGACAGTTTAACGTTCAGGATAAACAAGGGACTCATGAGCAACCATCACAAAAAAAACAAAAAAACAGCTGTGGATCATCCAGGTAACAACACACTATTAAGAATCAAGCATATATGTAAACTTTTGAACGGGGTAATTTTTATAAATTCAACTATTATTTTCTTTAGTGGACTATATGTAAACATCTTTTATGTGAAACATCTTATTCAGGTCAGTACTAAATAAAAAACAACATGCATTTTTTGTATGATCCCTCTTATTTTGGTAAAATAATTAACAATTACCACTGCAAAGTGTATAAAATTGACCACAACTGTACATCAAGTATATAAAATGTGCAAAATTAATATAAAACTATCTGCCTATTTTCACTAGAATTAATAATTCATAAAAGGTGGAAAAAAATTAATTAATAGTTGATTAAGATGTAACCGAAAGATGTTTTCATCCATTGTTGTCGCTGTCGGACAATGCTACGGTGTTTAAAAAAAAAATTATATATATATTCTCATATTTTGTAATAACCTTTTTATTTTTGTACATTTACATTTTTCTCATTCAAATTGTTTTGTTTGGAGGCTCTGCCTGACAAGTTCTCACACAGAAACCGTCGCCTGATCCACTGCATTCATTTTGCACTTGTTGCCAGAGAATAAAGAAGTGCTGGTGTCTAAACGATGAAATATTCTCTCATGCAGCCTAAATGTCAGTGGTGTAATGCAGTGAGCCCCAGGGCTCTAAAGAGAAGGGCTGAGAGAGTAAGACAACAAGGGAAAGGCAAGAAAGAGAAGATGGGTAAAGGTGATAAATGATGTAACTGCTGGGTTCATCCCTGACACACCACACTAATGCGCAGTACAGCTTCTCGGAGACAACACATATGAGGAAAGATGCATTTAGTCACTTACATTTATACTCCAAGTAGACACTTTTTGTTACTAAAGCCATTTGTAATGAAATACACAACTCATTCTATTCTAGTCATCCAATTACGAGTGCATTAGTTTGTGAGAGCGCGTGATATGATTCTACTTTTGATGTCTCCTGGAACTCCTTGTGCTACAAGGATCTACTCCAACAAATTCTCATTAGCAAAACAACAGAAATCTGTTAACAAATGGCAAAATTAGCACTGGGCTGGAGAGGCTCAGACATATGTTTGAGTCAAGCTGGATATGGGAGAGCCAGCTGCTGCAGCAAGGGCTGATGGGTAACAGCCAACAACAGCCAAAGAAAGAGTGTTTGTGCGCAATGGAGGAAAAAGATTGACATTATCTGAAACCAAGGTGAGCATATGAGAAATAACAAGTCCCTCTAGCCCCTCCTGTCTCTGGTCATGATATCAGACTGCCAGAGCTGATGATTCCATGCTTGGCTTCCATCAAGTGCCTCTCCACCAGGTGCTGACATTTCATCTGAAAGAATTAGTCTACGCTTTCCACAACACCAATTTACTTTCTTGATAGATTGAGTATGAAAACAGGTCTTGACCTACAATGTGTGTGTGCATCAGAATAAGGTGGTTTAGTAAGATAACTGACTAAAATAGCAATGCTGCAAGCTTAACATTTCTCAGTAGGATGATAGAAGCTCAAAACAGTGCATCTTTCCCCTAACTAACTACATTTTCCTTTGAATAAGCCTAACAAAATGCTAAATCACTGTATTTTGTCACGTTGTATTCCGCACACAGCCTAACAATGAGTGAGCGAGGTGATAATCTCACCTAAAACATCCTCTCTTTGAAGTAGTATTTGAAAAGTCAGATTTATTTTAGTAAATCAGTTCATTTGGACAAGTTTCAAACTGGTTCAAAGAAAGATTTACCAGTTTATTGGAATCCCTGTGCAGCATTTTACATCTTTTTGCACTGAAATGTTCAATTAAATGCCGCAGTCCATCATGTCTGACTAGGTTCTATAAATTAAGGAGTTTCTAGTTTTATTAGCTATATTTAAATTAAAATTCAAGTTTGATGTTGTCACTCTCATTTGGATTCTCGTTTTTCTGTCATGTAAATACTTGTGCAAATACATACTTTTTCTTAATAACTTGTAGTGTAGCTAATTGGATCTTTGACGTAGTTGAACTTATTTATAAGAGCACTATGGAAGCACTATGGCAAAAATCCATTACTGAAAATCCATTACTTTTAAGCGAATTCATAAAAATTTGCATTCAAAACTGTTTTGGCTTTGCCCCAATACACTCTTACAAGTTTACAATAATGATTTCTATTTTGAGCAGTCAGGTTTGATGAATTTGGGTTTATGTCATGTGGGATAAAAAGTCTGGCTGCTATAGTGACATATATGTTACTTTCTTAGTCTGCCTTGTACACCTTTCTTCTAACTATTAGTTTGTGTATCTAGTCAGATCTGAATAACCTGATCTGATCTGACTAGCTTGAAAAGATACAGTTTCAAGCTTCCCCAAATAGCTTAATTTCAAGTAGGGCTGCATGATAATGGTTAAACTGATCAATACTATTATTAAATCACAATTATTGTCAGGAATTTCTTTCTACATTTACATTTTACACATCTCTCAAAAGCTAAACCTGTGAAATTACCAATATTAACTCCAACAATTTGCACAATATTTCAATGTTTTTCCATTTAAAAACAAAAATAACATTGCATTGTGGTACAGAGATTGCATGAGTTTATATATTCAGCAATCACATTTGCAAAAAATACAGTCAAGATTTCATGTTTAGATTCATTAACAGTTCATCGCCGAGAAGGTTTGAGTGCAGATTTAGTTGCAGCAAACAGGGCAAAATGGCCTCGTGAAGGAACAAAGTTTGGCTGTATCAGAGTAGATGATCACTAAACTCAAACATACATGTTTTCAGTCATTTTCAGATCATCATTTTTTTTCAGTGCAAAGTGTGTGCTCGTAGTTGCCAGATTGTGGAGAAATAAATATTAAGGTCCATTAGTGATAATATTACAGTTTTAAAAATTATTCTAAATTTAAAATGATAGCACAGCCCACTCCATAACTATATTGCTGGAATCACTTTCAAAGCAATTTTTTTCCAGCTAATGAACAACAAAAACAATGACAGCCAATCAGAATCTATCCTGCTTTGAAGAGCTAGAGCATTTAAAGCATCATGCTTATAATAAACAAAGTGTTATCATCCGTTGGTAGCTAACGTAGTTATCATCATTATAGTTATCTTTAAAGTTATCGTTCTTGGTGAGAACGGGCCTTTACACTGGGCAGAAAATTATCCTTTTAAAAGCAATAATCTGATTAGGGGATTTGGCAACCCCAAGCACATAAACTTGCTGGCTTGTTATCGATACAAGATAACACAAATGTCAAATGAAAAAAAATAACATTTACAGGATAAATAATCAGTGGACAAATATCGCAGACGATTATGCTTCATCGACAGCAGCAATAATTGTGATCACGATTAAAATACAAGTTAACGTTCAGGCCTAGTTTCAAGGTAACAAACCAATATAAAAAATTTTAACAACGAATATGCTCTTTGTACTTTTAAGCTATTCATTTCAGATTCATTCATATTCCAAGTTCGAAACAAAGTGGGAAGTCATAACCATGTACCCAACAGCAAGGCATCTCTCAATTGCTAGCTTTTGGCAAAGCCACACAGACTTCTGCAAAACTATCACTAGCATATCCACCGCTGTGCATGAGGGCATCAGGACAGACCATTTGAGCTTTATAAATAGTGTAGTAGGTCAGTGCGGCTCTATATATTATTTTTATGAAAGAAGAAGTGAGGACTAACGAGGCTGCAGGGTTGGAAAGGGCTCAGGAGTGGAGCACCAACGTTGTCAGGCCTGATGTTTTCATAAAGCTCATCTCAAAGCCTGTGAGCAGTTACTCCACCTCTAGAGATCATAAAAACAGGGATTATATTAATTTTCTGTCAGCCTGGGTAAAGTCTTTGCACATCAGAGATTGATTTTTGGTACATTCATAGCAGTCAAATAAGCTTCTGTGAAGTGTGAACTTTAAAATCGGAGCTAGATTCTCTTTCTCTACTAAGGGAAGTTGAAGAAGAAGTGACCAGAATAGAACTGTCACCCATCTTCACAGAGAGAAACACTGATTTAGATGTGTGTTGGTTTGACAACATGAAGACACCCAAAACACAATCAAGCAGGACAGATAAAAAGTGAATCACACTGCCTGGACTACAGGCTAAAAGAAAGATGCAAACAGAAAACAAAAAATCAAACATATGAAGAGAACGTAAAACAGGAACCTCCATGTGAACCTCATGCCAGACAAAAACACACAAACACACCAGGGAGAACCATGGTGAAAAAGTAAGATGCTGCCTGAAAGAAATGTTTATATAAGTGGTAAAATAGTGCATTAGAGTATACAGGAATTTTAAATAATGCTCAATGGATTTCTATGGTTAGGCTTCTCAAATAAATAGGAGTAATAGTAATAATAAAAATAATGAAACCCACTTTTCCCTCAGAGTAAAAAATAAAACAAATTTAAAATTAAAATAAAATAGTCATACTATGAAATATAATTTTGCAATTTGAAGAAATTAAGCTGCAATTATGAGAAAGTCACAATTCTAAAATTGTAATTAAGAAACCACTGTGCAGTTCTGAGATATAAAGTCTCCGCTACGAGAAATAAAGTTGCAATTATGCAAAAATCACAATTATCTTTTTATTTGTTTACTCTTGAGGCAACGCATAGTTGATAATAATGTTTGCAATAATGGTTTATAATAATGGTTTGCAATAATGTAAGATCTGCAGACCATGCAAAAAACATGGCTGATTTTGTCCAAGAAATGGGTAACATGGTGCAACACTATACTGTAATTGATTGGAACTTTAAATGGCAATTGATATGGACACACTGGTGCTAGTGAAAGTGTTTTTGCTCAGTAAGGAAGGACAAATATCTCTGAAGGCAATCAAAGGGGATTTTTGCTTTGTAACATCATAAAATGGCAATTTCAGAGCTTTATCAGCGTTGTGTGACACTATTTAGCAAAAATTCAATAACTTCAATAACACTTCCATGTTGCAGTGGGAAGACTCAGCGACAAGAATGAGCTTATTTCAAGCCACAGCCTGCCACAGATTGATCAGATTAACAGTCATATCATGGCATCTGGTGAAACAGTATTGTGCATGTCATACCATATGACACTGGAACTGAAGGCAAATACAATATATTCATCTTAAGAAACTACAATCCACACAATTATGTCTTTTAAATTAAGATCTTCCACCCACCTTGTTTTCATCCAATATAAGGCATTTCCCTGTAGGATTTCCCTCCTACCAATGTAAAAGGTCATACACATTATCTCTCTGAAGAATCACAGTAATTAAATATAATCTCTTTCATCATGAGACAGATACAATAAAGATGTCAAGTGCAAAGAAAACAAGACAGTACAAGGACAGAATTAAGACATTATAACACAATGAAGAAAGGAATTAGATTCAAACCATTAGTTCAAGCAGCCCAGTCTCAGGAAGTCAAGTTTGTTATATTATATTTAGAGCTGTCAATTCAATATGATAATTTGGTGTGATTAATTATGGAAAAAATAATGTTTTAAAACGTTTAACTGTAACACCCAGCAGTGTTTCGTGGCTGAATGAATACACGTTTTGAACAAATCAAGCGAGCCAATGACTCAGTTACACATTCATAAGCACAGTCGCTTTATTTCTGAATGAAATAGCCATTTGAATAAATAGTTTGAATGGATAACTGAATGCAGAGCCGATCCTCCATATACACAAAGTACGCAAGCTGCGTAGGGCCCCCGAAACACCAGGGGGCCCTCTTGCTCTCAAAGATGATTTAATTTTAGTTTTGTTTTTGAATTTGGCCAGCGGTTATGAAAACATGAATGTAAATGTCTTTTAATGCGGTTCGCTGTCACCCTTTCTACGTAAAAATCAGTTAAATCATGTAACGTCAATGTCACAGTCTCTTGCTCGAGACAAAAAAAAAAAAAAAAAAAAAAATTGCAAAGCGTACCGAGCCACGGTAGAGACACTGTTTCTCAAGTGCTTTCCGTGAGTGTGATTCGAGACAGAGTGAAACACGGACAAATGCGTAATTTTTTGATCAATTTGAGTTTAATTTAATAAATTGGCAATAAAGTATATTATATATTATATTATATTATATATATTAGATTAGATTAGATTAGATTAGATAAGCAGATGTCCAAAACGGTACTGAGGGTTTCTAGGCAAGCTGATTCATTAATAAATGGCATTTAAATAATTCATAATGGTGAAAATGTCATGTCTTGCAGTTGTTTGCCTTGCTTCTTAACATCAGCTGTATACTGCAGTCTTGTACTCTAAAGAGACACAATCTGGGGCGTTACAAACACACCCACGGACAAGAGTGACTAATCTAACACGAGGAGTCGCACACTGTTGTGCTTATTAAAGGGGTCATATGATGTTGCTAAAAAGAACATTATTTTGTGTATTTGGTGTAATGCAATGTGTTTATGTGATTTAAGGTTAAAAAAACATTATTTTCCACATACTGTACATTATTGTTTCTCTCAACCAGGACAGGGTCAGAAAATAATACTGAGTGCATTTTCTTCTGCTGTACTACATTAACAGAAACATCAACAAACACCAAACAGCTGCACAAAGCAAGACAGCAAAGATTTTGTTTCATGGAGCATGAATAAGGAGCCTGTTTCCATCTCTACTCTGAAATACACCGGCCCTTCTGGGTTTGGAGTGGCCCATGACCCATCAGGCCAGCGTGCAGCTCAGAGGGGCCATCCATCACTGGGCCACGGCTGCAGCCTGGGGATAGATTTGCACTCCCCCAGCTGACTCATCCATCAGCACTGGCTACCCTGCATACTCAAGCAACATGGAGAGGCCCAGCAAGGCCAGGCAATGTCACACTCTTCCAAACCTGCCAAATGCCTTGAGATAAGCACAATGAAACCAGCGACCAGAGGCTGCTTTATTGCTTTCCTCTAATGGGACCTCAGTGCTGGGAATATTCACATACTGTATATTTGCATGATTTATTGCATGGCAGAACAGATGTTGCTGAAAAATGCCCAGGACAAATCTGCTAATATTTCCGAACTGCACTATTTAAACATAATCCTCGCTCAATTTTGTTTGGTTTATAGTTAAAAAAAGATTAATTGCAGATAAATTCTTTTAAAATTTTATAATCAGGGATTTATGAAATATCAGTACCATAACGGTTATTAGATATGTAATTGTGTGTGCTCATTTATTGTTATATTTAGATTACCTTTGCCATCATCTAACATACACTTAAAGTTAATCTTTAAAAACACTTTTAATTTGTTAAATGTAATCTTTAGCACATTTTAAAATATAAATTTTTTATACTGTACATTTATAATGTTGCAATAGTAAACATAGCATTGAAAAAATTATGCTTATTTTTAGCATCTTAATGTATGGTAAAATTTCACAATAAGGTACCATTTGTTAACATCTGTTGTGACCTGAGCTAACTTGACCTAACAATGAACAGCTGTTTTTATATTAACTAACGTAACAAAGATTAATAAATACTGTAACAATGTATTGCTCATTGTTAGTTAATGTTATTTAATGCATTAACTAAAGTTTACTAATGGGGCCATATTGTGTCAGCTAGTTTATTTAGACAGAATTTAGTATCAGCAATTTATTGGTTATCTGTCATAACTTGTATTATTAATTACTGGATTAATAATATCAGCCAGAATTTCTTTTCTTTTCAGAATTACTTTTCTTCAAATTGACCTTGTTTTAAGCATGTTTAGATGTTTTTACTGGAAAACAATCCAAGAAGAAATTCTGATTAAGAAAACTATTTTTGCAGCTCTCTCTTTCATATGTTACTGTACTATTTCTGAAACATTACAGGAACTATCAGTAGCTCCAAGAGCTAACCAGGAGCGATCTCTGATGCAATCAGCCTGAAAGATGATGACGAGGAAGCAGAGAGCAGAATTTGCATGCGGCTTAACTCAAATCCAGCGCATAGGAGTTTAATGAAGGAATGGTATCGCAAGGTTAATGACGACGCAAAGCCATTTTCACAGAGCATCTCTGGGCTGCCATGGTGACAAAAGGTCTCAGAGTGTGTGCATGTGTATTTATAATGTTGGCACGACAATGTGTCCCCAAGTGTCAACAGAGCGGATGAGAAAAGTATACGCATGTGTATTGGCACGACAATGTGTCCCCAAGTGTCAACAGAGCGGATGAGAAAAGTATACAGTTGTCACAGTTGTCACT